ACACTTATTTCAGTCTTTTAGATATCACCTGCTTTGAGTGCTGGATATTACAGATCCTCTAATTGAACCTGTAGGTATTTTTGCATACGATTAGTTTAAAAACATTAGTGTCTATCATAGCTTTGTTCATACGAAATAATACTTATTGATTTCATACAAAATAATACTCAAAATACCTATTGGTTCTACGTTATGCAGATCTAATTTTAGCATTTTGTTATGTAAAAAACATTCTTTTAACATAATTATTTAGACACAATCTTATTGGCAAAAGCCCTAATCATGGTCGATTAAACGTTGGAAGGTCGCGTTCCATGCTAAATTAATAAACACGCCTGAACATACAAAGTTTGCTTATTACTTCGGCAGAGGTATGTGAGTTGCATACAAAATTGATTGAATGAGTACTAAATTGCACTAAAACAAAATTGCCTGGTGCAAGCTAAACTAGTTTTGGTCAAGTTTTGATGGATTTTTTCTGAAACAACATTTCCTTCAAGTAAATGCTTTAAATACGTCTATGCGTTGAAGAAAAAATTAAGCTCAAAATCAATAATATATTTATATAATACATTCAAGTTTATTTTGTGCAGTTGTTTTCCAGTTCGTGTTCTCCACAAAATTCCGATTATGTAGCACGGCTTATGTCTCTGTAATTGAAGGAAATATTTTTCCCTCGCTACCATATAACCTTTTTGATAGTCACAAATTCCCATTCTCACATACAATTGCGATTATGTTCAATATTATTTTTAGCCAATTCATGTTCTCCAATTTTATTTAGTCTCCTCACGCTCTATGCTTTCATTAATTCTCCTCAAGCATAAATAATTTTCCACTCACACTCCTCTACTCTCTACATGTTCAATTTCAAGTATTTTCCCATATCGCAAGCAGTATTTACTATGGGCTTTATTTTCTTTGGTTTTCGAACTTCTTGCGTCTTTTTAGTCGCAAGTCAAGAAACAGAGTTTTATGCACGTATCAGAACTGAAGACAAGTAATCCAGAAAATGCAAAGAAAACAAATAACTTCCTTACACGATATCTTGCCACCCGATAAAACACCACTGATTCCTTTTCCCGCAGGAATGTGCAAATGTTCGACACTAAAACATATAATTGCAAAAATACTGAATATTTTTGCTTTTACAGTTTTAATTAGTACATAATTTTTAAGCTTCGAAAACCACAGACAACTTTGTTGTAAATTCTTCTGCCAATTCAAGGTTTTTTCCAAATTATTTACAGTTTTGGGTCATTGATGTAATTTACGTTATTATTTTTATCAATTATTGGTTGATTTTAATGTAAAAAAAGGTCAGCACATACTCCTGAAGCACCAGAGTCGAAACCACAAATCGTTTAACGGAAAATACTAATATGCGAAAGAATATTTATTATAAAAAAATATAAATTCGTCGCACACATTTCAGCGCGTGTTGTATTATAAGGATATTTCAAAAGCAAATAAAAATATATTAATTTCGCAAGAAAAGACATTAAGAATGATACAGATGCAAAAACCGCTTTACTCTTTAAAATGATTTTAGATTGTTTGCCACAGGAAAACGTGTCTGTAAAAATGCAGATAAATCTACATAATAATTTTGGATTTTTTCGTAACTTCCAAAAACTCGCGCGTCTTTGGTTAGCATTTTTTAGATAAAACATATTTTAGTATGTAATTAGTAGTACATTAAAATGCTGATACTTTAATGTGTACATTTAATATATTCGATTCGGTTGTAACGTTTAAAAACCCATACTTTATTGGCTTCTATTCAGTGATATCGAACCTACTAAATAATAATAAAGGGTTTAATCAGCAGGAAATATTCTATTAAATTTGGGAAAAGTAAGCATAGAGATTAAATTAACTTACCTACTTAAATGCCAGGATGAAACATTTTGTTTCCATATTACTAGAATAAGTAGACGCTGCAACACTGAATTACTAACGATTTGAGCTTGAAACTGCAAGCAAATGTAAAATAGCAAAAGTAACTATGCATCTGATAAGCAAAGTTATTTGGAGTTATTTCTGTGGAATGTCACTTGTCACAGGTTTTTTAACTCATAATGAATAATAATTTCTATAGAATATACAGAGTTGTAGATAAAAAAAAATTCAATCTAAAGGAAATCTCAGATATGAATGATACACTTTTCTTTATTTAATCGAGAATAACACAAGTACATACAAATAGATTTCGATATTTCTTGATTTCTTTCTTCCAAGTGTTTTTTATTTTGTTTCCAAAATAGCGCTTTATTGAATTTTATGCCTAATATTGCATTTTTTTGTTTTATTTTCAAAACCACATTTCAGGAAGTACCTAGATAATAGAATTAATTTTCTAGCAGGATAATAATATTTAATAAGTTCAAGTTACTTAAAAATTTACGCGGTTTCATAAAAAGTCCACAATTTTTTTATTTTTAAACTGCGTAGCTCGATCTTACTACAGATTTGGACCAATTTTGGAACTGCATAAATTCTAATTGCTGCAAGCGATTCTATTTCTGTTTGAAGCGTTATTTAGTGCAATTATTTTTCGGTTCGTGCGTGTTTTTGCAAGAAATTAGTGCTGCAGATAAAGTTTCTACAGGGTGCCAAATAAAACAATGCAAAATTAGTGAAAGTTGCAAGTGATCCCAGTTGGACAAAAAAACGTTTGTTCTTTTATATATTTATACCACATGCGTTAGGGTAGACCTCATATCTCGAAAAAAGTTTGTGAGCTGATCACCCACCTCCTTTATTTACAGAGTGGTCTCAAAAAAATTAAGCTTTTGGTCTTGCAGTCATACATTTTTTGCACCCCTGGGGTTCATGTTGAAGCTAAAACTTCACAGTCTACTTTAGAAAAAAAATCAATATAGCGGGTTGCATGAATTAACAAAATATTTGAATGTGCGCGCACAATTTATCCAGTTTCAAAATTTAGAGAAATTTGGCTGTGTAACATTTATTTTATTGGGCAGTTTATTATTGAATGAAAAAATTCCATATAAATAACTTAATAGTATAAAAATAAGATGATAAATTTGAGTTTTAAAAGTGCGTTCATCAAAAGTTTTGAAGATGGACAATATCTATCATCTCGTGGATAGTTCGGACGCGTCTGAAATGCGATTTCGTTTTCACTCTCAAAATACGCAGATAAGGCGGACTATAGGCTTGAGAAAGCAGCGTATTTTCAAGAATTTCCTTAGTGAAACTCAGTAGAACAATTATAAAATATCTACGTTTAAAAGACACGAAAGAAAACCGCGCCATTTAAACGCAGACATGGAATTTTTTATTACTTGATTTTTCAATAGGAACTCAATTTAAATCTTCTATCCAAAAAGGTAGCTTTAGATAATGAAAATCTTAATGTCGAATGGGAAATTTACAACTTTTTTATTATTAAACGTGCTATTTTTACGTTGTTTATTTGTGTCTGTGATTGTTGTGTCTTTTAATATAGTTTATCTTATATCACAAAAAAATGATAATTCCTGCTTTATTTTTTAAGCTGATAATAATAAAAGGCAAAGAAAAAATTATAAATACTGCAAAAACTTGAATAAATGCAGAAATAACGTCGTTATGAAACAATTCAAATCTACACATTGGTTAAGAAAATTCCATATCAATGCTACCTACGCCCATGATCCCCATAATTATAGTGGATCTCCCTACCAAAGCCGAAAGTTATCTTTAGGCTCTATTAAAGAACTGGGAATGGATCTCTGTTGCCTTTCTTCATTATTCTCGGTAATCTCGGTGATAACACCAATACACAGCTTCCTTTTAATATTTCTACCAGTCGTTTACGGGGTTTAATTTGTGATTGGCCACGATGTGTTACTTTTCTTTGCCACTGAAGAATTTTGAAGATGACGGTATGTAAAATACTATTATTGATTGCATTTTGCCAATTATGTATAACACAAGTTTCGCAATTTGCTAGTAAAGAATCGCCTTTGTCTATATCTACTATTCATTAAACACACTTACCATGTAAGGCTAGACAGCACAGAGACTACATCTAAAACAAAAGTAATAATCACGATATTTACGTGTTAACACACTAAGGCATAATGTTGTATGTTGGTTTTAAGCACTATACAAATTAGTCGCTTACATGCACTCATCACAAAAAACTGCCGCAATATCAAAACATTAGCAGTTGTTTAAACAATAACAAAAGTTTGCCAAACTGTTAAAATATATAAATTGAATTGGGGGATTTCGACACGTTAAACGATTTGAAAAATGCGTTTTAAGGCTGTATATTAAAAAAAAACAGTTTATTGGATCGTTACTAAATAATTGGTTTTAGTATGGATTTACTCAAATATTAACAAAATAATCATGATGATGATGATGATGATATTAAAAATAATGCGGATTGAAATATTTCGATTTTACTTTTTCCTGATTTAATTATTTATTAGTTATTTTTCTGACTTTTTTGCAATGCAAGTGGGTTCTATTTGATATATTTATTTGTTGTTAAATTCAGAATTAAATGGCTTAAAAATTGTCTTTAAAGTAGGGACATGTTTAAGAAATTCAACTTCTTAGATTATGTTGCAATAAGTAAATTATTCTCCCTCCTGAAGATTTATCTACCTTTAGGGACTCAAGAACACATTTCAATAGTAAAATTTAGGCATTGGACCAAATTTGCATGATGGATAATTAAAGTAATATTATTTTCTGGAAAAACATCACAGCGCAGGAGAAGATCGTATATTTAAATATTTTGATTGGGCTTATACAGGGTGTCCCACCGAGAACCGCCGCGATCGATATCTGGCAAACTGTAATTAGGAGAAAAAGGGTTTTCAGGCCTCTGAACTTCCTGTGCCTTCTATCTTCTGGTCTATCTAGTCGCATCTTTTAATCCAGGATTGGGTCTTGTTTTTTAGTACTTCTGCCTTCTGCCTTCTTCTGTATAAAATTTTTGTTGTGTGTTGGGAATTGTGAAAAACGAATGTTTATTCATTTTCAATTAACATTAATAAACACAACTTTTCGTTAGCATTTGAGTTTTGTAAAATGCGCATTATTAAGCTACTTACCATGAACACAAAGCCGATTGTAACTACCAGATTGTAGATATCAAATTATTTACTCAACTGCTCACTTTAATTGCATTAATCGATTTTCTTTCTATAAAACGGTGTTTAAAAGTAGATGAGACATAGTACAAACATGATATATTAATTGGCATCTCATGTTCCACTATAAAATATGTGGAATTTTATATAACAGTTTTTCAAAAATTTAGTTTAAATTTTCTACCTAAAGGGTGATTTTTCTACTTCCAAAAACATATAGCTTTCCATTCAGCAGTATTTGCGAAGAAAATTAATTTTTAATGGCTACAGAATGTACGATATGGAACAGGTCAAAAGTGATTCTAATAATCTGAGAATGAAAGAATATCGATTGGAAATTGCAAAGTTGGTGTGAAGACAAACCGTCACTGGAAAATATCAAATATATTCCTAATGCAAACCTCGTTTTGGGAATGCCCTGTATTATATCCGTTTTTTCTAAAAAGTTGTTTCAATTTCAAAGAAAGGAACTTTGGCAAGATGAAAGAAAACAGCAGAAAATTAAACAAAGCAATACAGGGTGATGAAACATTTTCAAATGATAATGTCGAATCGAAACAATATCATTAAAATACTGATCATTTGAAATTCTTACTTATTTAAAAAAGTGATTTGCTCACTACATTAATGTCTATTTATTTGCAGTCGAAAAAATAATAAATTAAATCAATAAACTCAGTAGAGCATTGTAAAACTTAAAAATAAAAAATATCGATTTGGTAATAAGCCATTCTAAAAACCAATAAGTAGATAATAGTTAAAAGCAATAGAGAAAAGCAATTTTCGCAAAAAAAAACGTGGAAAATCAATGTTTAACAAATGTCTGAAAACAGTTTTAGTTTAGATTTTATGAAGGTTATATTATTGGGGTAGCGTAAGCTTCAGCACCTTTAAAGGTTTAAAAGAATTAATTATTTCACAACTTTATACCTTTAAAATCCAAGAATCTATTTGGTTAAAACAACCTTTATTAGTTTAGCAGTAAATAATTATTTAAACGCTGCATTAATACTTTCAGAATACATATAAATTATTATTCRCTCACAAAATGAGTAGAAATAAGTAAATAATATAAAAAATACAGTGTTTACATGTGCATTAAATGAAAAATACATAGTATTTTTCAGCTTAATTTAAATTTCTTTCCTTATGCACAGTTTTAATAAACTTTTATCTTCTTTTTAGTGCACTTATTGTTCAATGAAAAAAATATTCTAAAGCTTCCTAAAAATCGCCTCCTACAGCAAAATTATAGTGTGTCTACTTAAGTTCGCACCATATGGGAAAAACTTATTCTTCATAAAAAGTTCTGCATGGTCCAGAATCAGATTTTTTTCAGCCGTATACAAGTGAATTTTGCTCTAGAATAAAGTACTTTTTTATTCGAATGCATTTTGATTTATTGTCCTGACTGCGCGTAATTGTTATTATATTTTTCTCCTTCCTGGGTTTCAGTCAAAGTGTGAAATAAACATTTTCATAACGTTTCGACGAGACAACAGCGCCATCATCAGATACACTCATAATTGGGAAATATTAGATTATTCTAGGTCGTCATTCATTTATTGTGGATTCAATAGAATGCACCGATTTTTAACAATTTGTAATAGATATAGATTTAATTTGATTCCTCTCTGTATCGGAAAAACTGTCCACGGTTTGACAAGGGCGCAAGATTTTCATACTAACGCATTTTCCTACACCGATATTTGGCTCGAGTTCACCCTGTTCCTGCAGTAAGAGGGGTGCAGCAGGCGAGGGTAGCAGCTTTTGTCTCCGCGCCCCTTTTGAAACGTGCGCCTCTGAACCTGCCGATCAATTTTGTTGAATAGCGTCTGTGAGAGTACCGGGTGATATATAGGCATATTTCTACAAAAAAAAATCTAACTATTGTAAGTTTCGACAAGAATTAACTAGTTTCTATTGACTCAGCAGATCAGATATTTATTTTCGAACTAATTTGTGATAGAACCGAAGAATCGTCCCTAGCTGGGCGAGGTAAGTGCCTTGTGGATATTGTTTGCTATAAATATTGCGTCGCAATTTAAATTAGGAATTCACTCAACATACTTTTCATTCATTTTTCGATTGTTCATAGGCACGGCAGCTTTAATCTGAGAGTGCTTCTTTCCTTTGGTCAGACATTTATAGAGCTGTTTATTTTTTTGCCGCAGCACGCACGTAAAATAACATTTACGGCGAGTAAACACCTTAAATCTTATATATATAGATTTGCCATTAATTGCAAAGCTCATAACATAAGAATAAAGCATTTCTTCTCGACCATGTCTGAAGAAAAAACATGCATACAGTGTTGAATAAAATTCACTAATTATTTAAATTTCTTTCTAAGCATAATGCGGGATGAAAACTGTTACGACTTGCGACAAAAGTTGAATTCTCTAAAAATATGGCCGTTTCTGTGAAACTTGGCTTTCAGCCAAACGGATACGCTATAATAGGTAACATACATAATACATTTCTAAAGAAAAGAAAAAAATATGACCACGGCTAAATGTACTAGAAATGTTTGCATGGAAGGACAATGCCGATGCATGTCGGTTGTAAAAATTAATTTATAAAAATGCTCTATTTAAATATTTACAGCAAAAGTGTGCAGTGTATTGATAAAAAAGAATAATTTCGATTAAAACTTGTTTTTTAAACTGTTTGCGGAAAAAATGTATGACGAAAGGTAACATGATTGTCTAAAAAACTTTGCATTTAATGATCAGGAGCAATCATTATTTATTTAATTAGAAACTGAAACCCTTCTTGTGCCTGACGATCGGCAAATTCCTGTAAAATGTCTTAACTAGTTTTAAGACATTACACTCTAATTCAAATTTTGGGGTCGTCGGTTTGGATCGTCTTCGAAAAATGCCAGTTTTCTAATTGTAATACGTAGTTTCAGCTAATTTAACGAATGATTTTCTTAAAATATGCAGTTTAAATAATAAAATAAAAAGTTAGTGTTCTCCAACAGCTAGTAAAACATTCAGTTTTATCTCTTCATTAATCTCAGGACGTCGATTCTTTAGTTTGTCTGTTACACAGATCTCTGCACTCCATTTCTCTCCATTTTACTAACTAGTTTATTCATTCTTCCGGATATTTGTTATTAAATAAGAAACACATTTCATGTTGTGTTCGCACTATATCACCATACCCAATCATCATAAGAATTTAAATTCTTGTGTTATCAATAAACGCAACTTTAATATTAGTTTTGGATGCAAGAACGTCCGACAAAAATTGATAATCCTTAATAACATTCCTATAAAAATACATTAATATAAATTCTTGACGGTGCACAAAACATCAGCCGATATTAAAACTTTTTATAATATATTTTTTACATCTATTTTCCTCGCCAACATGTAAATATCGACTGGAATTATATGAAATTGCCAACTTTAGGGTCGTAGTTCCATTTTAAAACATCCTGTATGATCAATTTTGGGTCGAAAATGGTCAATTAAAAATGATTTTTGTTTGTTTTTGTTTTGATTTTGAAATTCGTGTGCGAGTGTTTTTCTGAAAAAAAATGCCTGAATTTTTATCAGTTATTCGCTATTAGTATCTATATATGTTTTTTATTTCGATTTTTGCAAACTGTTTGAAATTTCCAACTATTTTTTTTTCGGCATTATTCCTTTTCCATATACAGAGTGTCCCGAAATAACAAAATGCGGCTGGGTTCTGTGAACAATCCATATTTTTTGCCAATTGTCCCCATATTTGAAGGTTCTGTTTGAGCCACAAAATTGAAAACTTAATATCCAATTTAATCTAGAATTTCTCGTTCCTTTTGAATATTTTTTGTTAAACGCAATACTTTGAAGAAAAATGGCAAAATGTGATAGAATGCATGTCAAAGTTTGTATGAAATTTATGTCTTAATCATCGTTTTCATTAACGAGTTGTCAGGTTAGTAGCATTCCAGTTTTTGCTTAAAACGCTGTAAAACTAACAAACCGCATTTTCTAGCTGTTAATTTCAAACAAAATCTACTCCTAAACTAAGTAATTTATTTCTAAAAATATCTCACCAAACTTTGCTTCTTTTATATCTGGACACATTATTTTTTAAATAATAATAAGGGTTTATTATGTGATATTCCTGCTTTAAATAAACATTCTAATCCATTTATCGATAGTTTTTAAACTGATATAATTCGAATTTAAATAATTTCCAGCGGGGATTTCCACAACAATTTAAATAATTATTAAATAACTTTGATTCTAATGTTATGAGCACTAAAATTATTTATTTTTAATTATCCCGAAACGTACGGTGTACTAAACTTCTGCTGCCTAATAAAACGAATCAATTTGCGCAAAGGTGCCGATTTCAAGAGAAGCAAAAAAATAATACAGTAAATTTTCTACGAATACGTTTTTGAAAACAGTCTCTAACTCATTTAAACCCCAAATTTTCCTTCTTTTGGATTTAAAAGGACGAAATACAAAGCACTTTCAAAAGCAAATTATACCTCCGTTCAAAATCCTTGAAAATCTACATTAAAAAGAAATTAATCCCAGAGCATAATTTTCAATGGAGGCGAAATAATTTTTAATCAGTTTATTTCTTTTAATTGCTTTGAACCAAACACTTAATTCCAGAAAAAATAATATTAATGACGCAAACAGTAAATAAAGAAGTTTTAAGAGCTTCAAAGTATTATTTGTTAAACGTAAAATGAAATACCAGTAAAAATGCGTGTACTATAATATATAAACAGAAAAGTACTTTTAATGAATAGAACAGTAGCAACAAATCTTTATTTATTATACAAAACGGCTATCCACCCATATCTGTCTTATAAACCATAGCAAAAAAATAAAATAAGCTATAAATTGCTGAATTACAACTTTAACTTGAAAGCGATGGAAAATCTATTGCCGAATTTCCTTAATTTGAAACATTAAAATGAGAAAGCGGTGATATTTATTGGAAAAGAAGCAAGAAGACGGATCAACTAATTCCAAAAGATCGACTTTCCTGTAAAGTTAAAATCTATAATTCTCCATCTCAATCGCAGATATAAGAAAAACAGTAATTGAGTTAACTTTTACGCGCGATAGTTTGACTGATTTTTAATTAAATATAGCCATTCGTTGTGAATTAACTTTTCATATCTGTTGGAGCTTTATCAGGCTCAGATTTCTTTAAATGTTTGCTGATATGGAAAAAGGTGGTTGACTTAAATTTAAATTGTGATAACTTTGAGACTTAAGATAGTGTCCCTGTAGACTAATTTACCTTGAAAATATTAATTAAATTTTAAAAGTTACGGAATTACATAAATTTCTCAGTATAAGGTGGAAGAAGATAATTCATCAAAGCGAAAAGAATAAGGGCAAATTGAACCGAACCCAGCATTATTGAGAAGACCAATACTAGCAAAACTGTGCCAAGTTTTGAATGAAAAATACCCAAAAGCAGCGAAGATTTATTATACTGAATATTGATGGACTGAAGGGGATGAACACAAATGTCCGTAATCGGAAACATGCTAGGCCTTGTTATAGTGAGAACTTATTTTATAGGCGGAAATTTCATTGTCGCAGCTTCGATTTCAACACGAAATAGTCTCGTAAATAACCAAATTTTAATAAAACGAAGTTTTTTTTGGAATATTGCAGATAGTAATAATAAAACTAATTTTTCTCTGTTTGTTTCAGCAATGGAAGAAGTTCTACCAGAAGGCAAAAATTTCAGATTGGTCGACGAATCTGAGCTTCCAGAAATTATCGAATACCTGGGTAATTTTTTACCTGACTCAATAAAGGTAAAACGACTCTAAATCTATAAAAGTTATAAATATGTAACTGAGGAACTGCACTAAAATTTCTTTAAAACATGCGACAGACTAGCTGATAATTATAACTTTGAACTGAAGGCTGATTTAGGCAATCTGTAAATTTAAAAAAATGCGGAATCTGGGTTCTAAAAGTGAAAATAGCTATAACAATAATAATAATAATAATAATAATCCTATTTAAGCAAGAATGTACAGGAATTAACACTAATGCCATGTTTTATTATTAAACGTAGAAAAAAATCGTAAGAAACCCACCTGCTAAATTCTTCAGTGCTCCACTGAATTTATAGCTATTGAGAATTTGCATGGAGTTCAAAACATGAAATCTTGCGACCCTTTTTAAGTTTGCATGTTAAGCTGCCGCTAAAATCGTGGAGTTCTCGAAAACATTGGTGCAATACAGAAATTGTGATAAGGGCTTAGCAGGCCAATGGAGTTTAAGGTCAAATATAATTTGTTGAAAAAAAACGAGTCTGAAATGCTGAAAACGTTTGGAAACTTTAATTGATTCAGTTAAGTTATCGCATTTGAGGATCAATTATTCCAGTTCAATTCAGCAATAATAGTTGCAGATTATTTAAGAACTTAATAAGTTTGAGTATTTTGTCGGCGCCACTCACGCACAAGTTTTTGAGCAAAACACTTCTGAAGATGCAAGCAACTTCTGCTTGCGAAACATCTGGAAGACATTCTTGTTTCAACTCAATAATGGTGATTTTTAAATACAGCTGAAAATCTTATGATTTAAATTAAAATCCTCGATACATATTTAAATTAAACTAAATAAAAACCGAAAATTACACTTGATAAGCTAATTAGAATTGTAGGGACTTGACTAAGGTGATTTTCTACCCCAGTATTCGCATTCAATAAAGGCAAAGAGCTCGATTATCTTAGCTAATTAAACATTAAATTAAATTATAGTGAACTGCCATGACCATTTTCACGCCCAATGTGCGCCAGGCAATAAAAGAAAACTATCTGGGACAATGGAAAATATATTTTCAGCCTAGGAACGACCATTTTTTCCCATAGAGATAAGAAATTAATTAAACCGCACTAAACCAACAGCCAGACTGTCGCCGGCAGAAGTTTTGGGGCTTCCGTGATTAAAAACAGCTTTGCCAAAATATATGCGAGTATGCGAATTAATTTATTCATGTATCATGTCAAGTGTTGTGGGGTTTTTATTAAGTTGCCCAAATTTACTGTTACTTTTTTATTTTTATTTTATTCACACTTACAGCTGCTACTTAAAAATTTTCCGGCTGTTACTCGAGTTATATTCCACTTTCTTCTTTGAAAAAAATTCATACAACTCAATTAAATATTTCTTGTGCGGATTGTATCAATCAATACAAAGATTCGATTAGTATTTCGGGCATTTATTTTTCTAAGTAGGTAGAATGTTTAATATGTTTAATATATCCAAGTAACTATGAGTCAAATGAATCTAAATAATATTGTTAGTAAAACCAAAAATCCATGAAACATTTCTAAACTAAGTCAAAAATATATTTAGAGACAAAATCGTACGCAAGTGTAATTTCGATAAACTTGTGTTTGAGAATGGAAACGAAAATGTGTTATTCATATTAATCATTAGGTTTATAAATAATAGAATAATCAATCTTTATGTATTCATCTACTACAAACATCACATTTTTAACATATTTTTATTCTCTTTGCGTCGTAGACAAGTGGGGATTTCTCATCTTCTTGCCTTTGAAAGCTTTTAAGTTTAATCAATTTTCTGTTTTGCTTGTGTTGTTTTTAATCTCCAGTACTACTGTGTTTTCTTAGAGATTACAGGGTAATTTAATCCAAGTTAACTGTTCACCATTGCTAACTTTGTTATTATTAAAGATACAAAATAATTTAAATTAACAAACTAGCAGTATTTTAGACACTTATTAAAAGTGCAAAGCAAATCCGATTAAGCATCGTATTTTCCAGTTTTAAAGGAAGATACAACTTTTGTATGAAAACTATTAATTTAGTGATTTTTTCTGTTAAAATGGTGATAATCATTTTGCTCTAGATTCAAAAATTATACCGCTTTTTTTGCATTTTTGATCAATATTAAAACTAATTAACCAGTTTTATCAGGTAGTTCGATACCAATGGATCAAAACGAATGGTTCTTTTCCCTGACCACCACGATCACCTGATTTATCCCCCATGGTATCTTTTGAAAGAGTTATTTCTTCGAAGTTAACCTTTCAAGCAAACGTTTACTAAACCTTATGCAAAAATTTGCTAAACTTTTATAAACTCAATGAAAAGTTCACTCAGATTTTCGCAAGAACAATTCGCGAGGTCAACTGCATAGATAAAAACTTCAACTACCGATGGTGGCGCTGCGATACGTCAAATTACTCGTTGTCGAGTGACAGTTGAGACATGTCAGACTAGTTTATTTATTGAAGTTGATTATATTTATAACATACTTTTCGATCAATACTTACACACTTTTCGATCTGTGTCTATTTCTTTAAAGTATTGCAAAAGTTGATTGGAACAAAACAAATCACAATCAGATGTAAACTTCAATGTGACGTCAATGTCAACAAAGCAAGTGTCAAATTACTATTTAACTTGTAGTTATAATTTTAGCCAGCAGGGGGCGTGTGGACTTTTGAACTCGCGAATACCGTAGAGTTCGAGCAGTGGGCATTTACTTCGGGTCAACCTGTATATTTACTTTATAGCTGTAATATTATAATTTATAATATACTATACATTTAATTCTATTTTTTTTATCAAAATGGAACGATTAAAGAATAACTGCCGGTATGAAATATAAACAATATAAAATATTTCATATGAAAAATCAATGTAAAGAAACGATACAACGATAGACGATAGATAGAAGATAGACGCTGCAAACTTCAATGCTGTTTAAATAAATAAAATGCGATTTCAAAAGTGCATCATAAAAAGCTAAATATTTCTCAATGAGTACTAGTGGTCAGGAAGTGGAAGAACCACTAAAAATATGTAACATTTTCAGTTTCATCAAACTTTGAAGACTTACGTAAACGACAGGGTGTGGGATTTCCATTTCTACGTAACGAAAAATTGGCCAGAGCAAGCTGTGATATTGCATTTTCCCGGAATGACAAAAACGGTAAGATTCATAACATAATTTTCGACATAAAAATCTTCCTAAGACAAGCAATTATACTACACTCTGTAGGTGCAATAAGTTTCATTATTTATCACCTAATAATTTTATTACAAGAGTAATTAACTGTATATTTTGTTATTTTTATAGCCCAACAACAAGTTGTACGAATCGTTTAGCGTGTTTTGTCCATGCAGCCAGTTGGAAAATTTAGAACTGCTGGAAACTGAAGACATACTAATAGACTGGTCGCAACCCATATATTTAAATTTCACACACGCAGATATAATGAGCAAAATAGAGGAATTCTACGCTAACATTGGTACGATAGAAAAGTTGTATGGCGATGTGTATGGTTTGGTAGAGCCTAATCTAGAAGAAACAGAGATCGAACTGTAAGTACTATGCTTGCAAAGTGATATTATTTAAAAATATTAATTCTTATGATAATCATAAGTAGTGCAATCCACAGTAAGACATTAGAAATGGTTTCAGATAGTTTTATTCGCGTTCTTAATAGATTAAAATATTTTTAAAATCAATCCCGAAAATTTCACACCAGGCGAGATCGGTTTGAATGATAAACTTGCGTTGTTTCGCCTTTTCTGATAATATAAAACTTGATAATGAAAAAGGTAAATCGTTTGAAATAAAAATAAACTTATTTTAATTTAAACGTGAAATTGTTTATTAGTACAATAGCAGAGCAAGGTGAAATGAGTCAACTAAAAAAAGGAAACGCTCAAATAATCCACGATTTGTACCCAGCAAATCAAATGGAATGCATAGAAGTATTCGAGAAGCTCATAGAGAAACTGCCTTGTTTTGGTGTTTTCTCCGCTCAAGGTGAGTTTCCCCACATAACGCTAATAAATCAGATGGCAAGCAAAACCTGTGATACTTTAGGGGACTTAGCAGCTTGGATGGTTCAATCGTATTATGGTGCTATGTTTTCAATGCAGACTAGGCCCGAATATAGAAGAAAGGGTTACGGAATTATCTTAGCAAAACATCTCACTAAATTAGTAAGAAATTTTGTATTATTTTGGACAATATCCTTTTAATGCTGGAAATAAAGCAAATCTTGACTTTATAGTTAGATGTGAGTCTGAAATGAACTATAGCTTGGCTTCATCCTAATACTATCCAATCGGAATTTTCAGGTAACCGATAGAGGGTACCTGCCGTTTGTAGTAATCCGTCCAGAAAACGACGCATCCAAGGGCCTATACGCAAAATTAGGTTTTAAAAAACACTTTGAAACCGTCAGAGCCATTTTACGGCCATTTGAAGAGACAGGCGAATCTCAGGGAGGAGGAGGCGATGAAACAGTGATAGAGAATGGAGTAGGAAACACAGTTCGAGAAATGAATGGTGATGTAGAATCTAAGGAGGACCAATAAAGTGTACTATCTGAAAATTTAAGAGCGTTTCCTGAATTACAAAAATTAGGCCCGTTTTAATGATCTAAAATAGAAATGAATGTTTTTGATTAATAGGATCAGTTAAATTATTGGTAAAACCGCAGACTTTACCATTGCAATGTTGAATAAAAAAGCGAAAAACTTTGTTCTCAGCTCAGAAATAGTCTGATTATTATGCACGTTTAATCAACGCCGAAGCACTTTTGCAATCTTGAATGCTTGCTCCATATTTTCCATTAATCACTTCATCTCGTACGTTCTTCTATATACAAAAAAAACATATAACTACGCAGACCAAGACGGAGGAAGTTTGATTCCGATCAGAAGTCAGTTAATTAGCCTCATCAAAGAAAAAGGCAGTAACTATAAAAATGAAACTAACAACTAAAACTCGGTCTTAGTTTGTATTAAAATAACTGTCTTCCTTTGAAATGCTTTCCAAAAATCGTTTGTCTTCACACACGTTACGTTTAAGACTTTGCCTCAAAATTGTGCTGTGTTCTGTTAACTTGAAACAGAGTCCGTTAATTGTTTTACAATTGTAGTTTTCTTGAGTGTTTCAAAATAACAAATCGCAAAATGTAATCAATATAAATGAGAAATTTGTTCGACGAAATTATTCCTTAAAAGTTTGAGAAAATATTGCTGGCTGTTTGAAAAAAGCTTTTTGCAATAAAAACCATATCGGCAGAAATCTAATTAATAAGTGTAACAGATTGTTTCATAATAGGCATTATCTAAGGAAATTGAGGTGTAGCGACACATGCTTTGTTATCTAGATGCAATGTGTGGAATTAGAAAAAAATTCTGCATATTGTTGTGTGACCTCAGAGCTCTGGGTTTTCTGTGGTTTATAAAGAATTATCTCGACTAATTTTCAGTTGCTGATGAATTTTCAATCGAATATGCCCAATACTGTAAAAATATTGACATTTCTTGAAGCACAACAGTTCATATCGGAGTAGTTTCAACGTATTAAAATTCATTTTAAATGCTGAATTATTTAGTTACAGTTATCGATAAACCGAAAACTGTAGCTCAAGAAGTTACAATAGTTACCAGAAATGTATCTCTACATTTAAACACCCACGACTACCTACTCTTAAATAATGCCATGCTCTTACGAAACACCCTGCATAAAACTAAGGTCAATGATTAATTTTTACATTTCATAAGCACCTCTCATCCATAATTAAAGATGCCACGTAGTTTTCGAAATGTTCCCGTTTAGCAGGCTTCAACTTGTAAGAGCTGTGATTTAAACTATCTTAGATTATTCAAAATGAACACTGCTAGAACGTTTTGAAGTAAAAAACGATAAATTTAGCCCGCAAAGTGTTAAGTTATACATTTTTATATTATACAGGGTGTAGCAAATTCGATGTATAAGCATTGGGATCTCGTAGACGGTAAAAGGTACGAAACCACTTACTTACATTAGAGCAAAGTTACCATGTTAATAGTTGGAAGTTTTTGAATAATTCGGGAAACATTTCGTAAAAACACGCATTTATTTCAGGCTTTATTTCAGTAAATATTCGCTGTAATTTTTCGATAATTGTACACTTCAAATTGAGATATTTGCATACGAGGGAAATATTCAGATTAAGACCAAGATCTGGTACTGGTTTGACTTCAGAAAAAAATGCTAGAAAATGCATTTTAACTTTAAATCAATTGAACTCCAGATCATTGCTGTCTCGCGAGATCATAAGGCTGCCACATTTAATTGCCTACGCTCTGTAGATTATACAACTGATATTAGTTTAATATTATTTAGGTGCTATGCTGAAAACCTTAATGTATCTACTAGTTGCATTTTATATTAAATATAATTAATATTGGAATTTTTGCGTTAACCAAAGCGTTAAAACCATGTCCCTAGCTTTGCCATATGCAAGAACATCTGGATGAAATAGAAAAACAGCTCAACATAAGCAACTGGTCAAAACAAAAAATCAAATATTGTTTTTATTACGCCCAATGTAGAGCTCCTTCTTCCATATAAGCTAAGTTAGTTAAACTTAGGTTACGCGTTTGTTGTGCCGCATTTATATTTACGTACATAATCTTTACACGCATAAGTACTTAGAAAATATTGACAAAATATTGGAATTAGTTTCTTGCAAGTAGGGCTGTGAATAATTTTTCTTAACAGTAAACAGAAAAGTACATCTAATCGGTAAGAATAAAAATGAAATACTCCTACATAGAAAACATTGGGATTCATTTTTATAAATATACTGTAAAAATCTAAAGCTGAACAATGTTTAAATAAATGAAAACGTATGTAGACATCAGATTGTTTGGAATGTTATAAAATACTAAAGGTAAAACTAACTATGTAAAAAACACTTTGATATGTGTAGATTTGTTGCATGGACTGTAAATGGATGTAAAACCAAATGTATCAAGCAGCTAATGGAAAAATAGATTCGAACTCAAACTAACCGGGGAAGTATTTTGGATTAGGAAGCTTTAATTAATTCATACCGAATATAAACACATACAACTACTTAGTAATAATTCAAACAAATATATTTTGCATTTCGCTTGCAGATTTTCTTGAAATCTTCAGAAATTTAATCAAGTTAGTACGATGTTCTGTACATAATTCTGAGACTACTTTGATTTCCATCATTTTCGTTTTTTAAATCCAGGAAAATATTAGTAGATGAAATCAGTTTTTTAACAAATAAGGCTGTGATATAGCTAACTATTGTAGAAAAAAATTAGAATTGACATTAGTCAACAAGAAACTAATTCCAAGTAACAAAAGAATGTTTTTTTATTGAACAACATTAATTTGCTCCAAAAGTTGGCTTAAAAAAGTGACTAGTAAAAAAACATATAATTGATGGCTAGTTTTGGAAGCAATAGTTTAGCTAGGAAGTAGTTACTGCTTACTATAAGTAGTCATGTGTATCGTCTCAAGAAGTATGCATTGCCATTATTAATCCAGGATATTGGAAACCTTTCAAAAAGTAGTAGAAAATCTCGTTTGGTTACATATTAGGAAAACATGAAAAAAACACGACTTAATAAATTGATGTATACTTTTTAAAGACTATATACTGACCGATTATTTTTTTGCGTCATATTTTTAAAAATTGGGTACCAAAATAATATTAGTTAACATTATATCTATGTACAGTAGGAATAGGATTAGCACAGTAATAGCGATTTATTCGACTTTTCAAAAGCGTTCTTTAAGCCAGAGATGAGCAAATGAAATAAAACTAAATTATCGAATTTCTAGTTTTATTATCAGTTTAGATAACGTAAATAACCGGAACCAACTCATCTGTCCCTGACTGTTTTCATTTCATATTCAATTTTACTATGTACATATTTGAATTTCAAATTACATTCAGATAATTGTGGTAATTCCCAAAAAAATTGGGTTTTCTGTGCAGCAGAAATAGATGTTTTATTCAATCTGAATTGTGTACAAATGAAATAAATACACAGATAAATAAAAAATAATTATATTTATCCAGCTAAAGGATTGGCATGAATTGTAACACTATTAATTCTGATATCGTTAAGCGGTTTGAAATTTTTTGGATGTACCGGCAACTTCTCCAACTCGTCTAGTGTTTCAAAACCATCTATTACCCTAAAATTTTAAAAAATCGATATCACACAGGTAAGTATCACCAAAACATTTCATCTGATATGTAAAACTTACTTTCCAAATATTGTGTACTTTAGATCTAAATGTGGTTGGGATGCGTAGGATATGAAAAATTGACTTCCATTTGTATTTGGTCCGTTATTGGCCATTGATATCGTCCCTCTTACATTATGCTGTACATAAATAACTATTGTCAAGGCATAAAGAATACACTTGCACAAATACAACTACTGATTTAACGCAAGATTCAAACGCCGTAGTCTACTACGGTTAGTCAAAGATCCTGCATAAAATTCGTAACTTTTCTTGTAACGTTTTTTTTTTATAAAAACCAAATCCATATTATTTTACACAACTGAAAATTCAATTTCAATGTGCACTTTTACACAAAAACTCATTAAAAATATATACCAAAACTTTATACGGGACATTTGAATACCCTTCCATGAATAAAAAAAAAATCGCCGCAAATAGTGATTTTCTGATATAAACTTGTAGATACTCGGATACCAGATACCAGACTAGTAAACCGCTAAAACGTTACATAATGCTATCTATCTATGTGATACCTAGCTTGTTTCATAAAACTGAAATAATAGTCCAGTTAATTCCAAACCCGCTCTCGAAACTAACTTAAGCAATAAATAAAAGTCAAAACAGATATGCTCTTTTAGTAAAAGTTACCTTTAATTGTTCCTTGAATTCGTCTTCAAACTTTTTGCCCCAAATAGACATACCGCCTTTGCCTGTACCCGCAGGATCTCCTGTCTGCACGATAAAACCCTTTATGTTCCTGTGGAATAAGCATCCATTGTAGTAGTCGCTAGCACATAAAGCTAAGAAGTTTTCACATGCTTTTGGGCAATGCTCGCAGAACAGTTCGATTTTTAGTTTCCCTAGATCAGTATGCAGTGTCACAGACTAGAAAAAAATATAAATTTGTTTTATTCATTGCCTAGACTTAAACATGCTTGAGTACCTTACCATTTTTCATTAGTCGATTAATTCATATGCTGGTATAATGCTATTTTCTAGTGTCCAGTTTGTTTCAACAGCAGATTTACTGTTTCCTGAAACAAATTTAAAAAAAATTGAGCTTCACTTTCAAACGCAATAAGAATTACTCGATTTAATCGAAAGTAAAAACGTCTTCATAAAATTATTTTACCATTCAAGCAATTTAAATTATTTTAAAACCCTAATAAACAGTTAATTTAATAAAATAAAAACATAAAAAACGATGATAACTTTTTTTAGATGTTGAAATTCCAGTCTCGATCATCGATAAACGAGTTATAACTCATTAAGCGATAAAACTCATTAACTCAAAAAGCGGCAATAACTCAAAAGCGCAACTCAACACAGCGTGACCCAGGCTTAATTTTTAAGGAAACCCTAGAAATTGAGTTGGTGGCAATTGTAGTTATAAATGGAAAATTAATTAACAATATGAGGTATGCTATTGAGGACACAACACCTTTTAGAAAAATTAAATGCTCGAGGTAATGAATACGGACTAAAAATCAACTTTAAGAAAACCAAGTTAATGGTAGTTCCAAAATTTCCACAAGGGTGGATCATATCAATCAAATACATGTTGAAATTCAAGAGACTGTAAATCAGCAACGATTCTAAATGTGTGATAATAGTTATGACCTTTTACATAAGACGATCGTTTTATTATAAATTTCTAATCTCAAAACAGATAAAAGCATAAATGAGAAAACGTACAATTTCAAACGGCATAGTGTATGCTATAAGCAGTTTATAAGTCGTATATTAATTAGTATTAACAAACTCTTTATTAAAACAATAAAATAATAATTTAAATAAAATTCTTGGGCTTTCAGCTATTTTCCAAATATTAGTGATATATAGTTATTTTCGTCTGCTAACATAATCCTGAAGTAGTTATTTACATGCTTATCAACAATAATAATGTGGCCTTACTCCAAGATACTATTTTGTGTTGTAACAAAATGTTTGTAATGTAAAACAAGAAACTTTGTAATGTTCTGTTTGGCACTTTACATTTTTGGTTAGATCCACTTAGGTTAGAGACGAGAATACTTTTTGGAAATACTTGTCTTCTTCGTCTTCTCAATTTAATAAAGATATTTTTTGCTAACTTTTTAAAGCGTTATTCGACTAAATTAAGGTTAGAATTCACGGCTTAATACCATAACGCGCAAACGAGCCTTACAAAAACACGCGCATTATTATCAATAACCACATTAAAGGTATTTTAGACTAAGAGCATGACTTGCCATAAAATTTCACGTTCCAATGCGGACTCGGCATAAACAACGTTGAAACAATAAAATTCGCTGAAAATTGTTAGGGACTTGAAAACATTATACACTCAGATACACTAAGAGCATGACTAAAAAATAAAATTGGGTGTTTTAAGGCGGATTTCTCAAAATTAAAAACAGTGCGTTTGCAAAAGGTTTTTGCCAAAAGACGTACTAACATGTTTCGGTTGTTTGCCGTCGGCTAAGAGCAAAAAACATTGAATCAATAAAATTCTCTGAAAATTATTAGACTTGAAAACATTCTACACTCACACACACTAAGAGCATGTCTAAAAAATTTAATTGGGTGATTTAAAGCAGATTTTTCAAAATTTAAAACAGTGCGTTTGCAAAAGGTTTTTGCCAAAGAACGTACTAACATGTTTCGCTTGTTTGCCGTCGGCTAAGAGCATGACTATGCAATAAAATTTCGCATTTATCTAACGTTTTATTTTTAAATCTACCATTTTTTTCCTATCTATCCTCCCGCTTTCAAAGTTCTTGGCCTGGCAACGCTGGTGGTGTCTTCTTCTGTGGAATAAAATGAGAAAATGCACATTATTTTCGGTTTATGAGTTTAAATTTTTACTTTTTATTCTACTCTTCTACTTCTAGTACTATTTTAGTTAGTTAAAGTTAAATTTTAAAATTGAAACTGGATTGAAAACCGTTAGCCAAACCACATTATTTCATTACCTATCTTGTACTGGTCGTTATCAAGTGAAAACTGTGGCCGTATTTTTCAATTGTCTTCATCTATGGTATTTTTTGATTACCCTAACCTGCAAATGTTCAGACACGAGCGTTTTAAAGTTTAGTGCTGTTGTTTAGTGCGAAATTTTTAACAAAATGCGAATGCAGAAAATTGCATTTTAAAGATGAGTTCCAGGTCGCATAGTGTGAAAAGCGTGTTTGATCCTCAATGTAAGTAGACATGCTTTTTCAACAGACTAAAATAATCAGTAATCATTTAGCAGATTAAAATAATGTTTAATGTTTGGTTTCTTTAAGCAATGTAAACTACACGTAATTTTTTGTGATGGTTTATGAAGCCGGTTATTTTAACTGTTAGCGTTGCATTATCGCCAATAGATTTTAAAATGTATTCGCTGTATTAAAGGCAACAGAGTGCTTACAAAGCATTTTGAGTAAATGCTTGCTTCGAATAAAACGCTACACATATACAGCTACACATATTAGCGCAGCATTACATTGCATTTATAAGATTGTAATAATACGTGGATACTGTTTTTACAATGAGGGTTACAATTTTACCTTGAGGTAGGGTAAGCCTCGTGTGATTGTTTTGAATCGGGAAAGAACAGGACATGAATGTTGAAAAATTCGTTGAACGAGGCAATAATGTCGTTTGCATTACTCACGCTTGTTCCAGTCATCCTAGTGAGTTTTACCTTATCTGAGTTGCTAGTCAGGGCCCTTAGTTCTTCTGTCTTTAGTTATAGAACATGTTTTACTTGATCTCCGGGAACGAGGCAAAACCTCTACTTGTGTAAGGTCTTTCCCTTGTTTTTCGGATGCAAACAGTCTACTTCGCAGCTACTTTCTATAGTGTGGACGATATTTTCTATAACATAACTAAGTTGCATAACACTTTTTCGACAAATTTCTTCATTTTTTCTCCCTGGAACATTTGAACGAGTATGCGATTGAGAGACAAATATTATAGAAACTTGTTGCAATTAATGTTTTAGGCTAAACGATTATTAATTGAGCAAGTTTTTTTAATAAAAATTGGATGACACTTAAAAGAGCTTCTTGTCCTTTAAATTGATCGATTAATTTAAAGCATCTTGGTTGTAGAATTTTTGTTTTAAAAAGATTCAAATACAAAATATTTTCTTAAAATTCATATTAAAATGTTACTTTCCCGCGCAATACAACGGATTTATTATTTAGTGAACGACCCCACATTGTGTGAGTTAACAATTAATGACTTTTTAAAATATTTTTAATGTCATGCCCAGGCCTCAGTGTTGAGCAAAAATTGATTTTTATTTACAAACTCAAAAATCACTGATTTATTTAAATTAATCAAAAAAATCATGATTTTTTTGATTTTTAGTAAATCAATTGATAAACTGATTAGCTGTTTTAAAGTCATTGCAATTGTTGCCGAGAAGATTCAAGCTAAGTTGAATCGATTCAATACTTGTCCGAACGCATTTTCGACGGAAAATTCTTGTCGCAACAGCCCGCGACTCGTTTTCGCACGTTGCCCGGCGTAATCTATAAATGTCGTCGCTTTTCTTCGGTCTTATTCATTTCGTAACAAAATTTCAAGAGAGGCTAATGTTGGAAAGTGTAAATTTTTTGTGTTTGTGTAATAATAATAAGTCAGTTTGAAAAGAACGCAATGGCTGGAAGAAAAGAAGACAGTATTTGGTAGTTTTACATCAAAACCACCTCTTCTAATAAGTCAGGATGCAGAGCAACTTGCAAACAGTGTAAGAAAGAGATTCAAGGCGTAGTACAAATACTGTAAGAGTAACTTTGTAAGAGGCAACAAAACAAACAAGACACAACAACAAATTTAAACATCGATCTTCCGCCCAACTTTTTTGAGACTGGGAGTGCTTCTTCCACCTTTACATTTCCCTCGACAAGCTCCAACTCACCTCCAGAATCTC